TCCACTGTAAAACAGCTGCTGTGCAAGATCAAAGAAATGCTTCAGCTGCAGGAATTGATTCTACGGTTGGGGAATCGTCTCCCCCTGAAAGGGTGCCATCAAAAGACAAAACTGAAGAGAACTTTGAGCCTCTTAACCTAAATGTCCAGCAAGTTGTTGTTGAAGATGATTCCAGGCAGGGAATAACGCCACCAGTTTTGCCCTTTGTAATTAAATTAGAAAATGGGGTTGAAACAACTACGAATGTGGAGCATCAGTTTATTCCTAGCTTCACTAATGGATCTCTGGTCCATCATCAAAACAAGGGTCAAGAGAACCAGGAACCAAAAAGCCTCTCGAACTTCAGGAATCGCTCTGATGAAGGAATCTACGTGTCTTTGCAGTTAGGCGAGCCTGAACCAAAGAAAAGAAAGCAGTTCTGAAGAACAAAAGTGAAAGGACTAACGGAATACATCTCAGATGACTCAGAAGAAGCTACATCATTTGAGTTTCAAATTTTACCCTGTAAGTATCACGTTATGAAAAGAAATAATCTTCATGCATTTGATTTTATGAATAATCATATTACTCATTTTTCTGTATTTTTGGCCTTTTATGTTTCAATTACCATTACAATGGGTAGATTAGGCATGTGAAGGGTACATTTGTGTAGTGGAAAGGGAGAACCTTTAGGCATTGGCTATCCCAAATATTTTACTTCTCTGAAATTTTATTCCCAATGTTCAAATTGTTGTATCATAAGATCAGGCGCCCCTTTGAAGGGTTGTAATAACAACTATTGAATAGAGTTTTGTGTTAATTGGAATAACTCAATGTTGTTCATGTTCGTAATTTAATTTATGTGCAAGCCAAGTTTAACTTGAACATAGTTTGGGCAAGTTATAGACCTATTGCAGGTTTCATTACATTATGTTTTACAAGACTGTATTGTGTCTATCTTTAAGATTGTGTTATTTTTATTGTATAGATATCATTTTATTAGTGAAATATATGAATTTTCATGTTAATAAAATTTCAATCATATTTGAATTCCATAATAATAAACTTTATCTTCTCACATGTGAATCTGAAAAATTATTAATTTAAATTGAATATAGAAATGATTTGAAATTATATTGGTATTTTTATTCAAATTTTTATTATATTTATATTTTATTGGTTGAAATCTGGACCAAATATATTGTAGAAAGGATTTCAAAACAAGTAAATTTCTGAATGTATTTGAAAAACTATCTCTGAGCAATGACTCATATTCTTTTCTATTCATTTTTTAATGATTGTTGTTATTTGATGTTTCATAGATTGATGATTGTGCAATTATTACATCCATGTTACCAGTCTAAATCTTGCCTTTCCTCAACAATTGAAACCTAAGAAACTATATTTTGTCCTGTTGTATAGAATAAATAGAATCACCACTTAAAATTAATAGATACCTAAAATCAGTTAAGTATTTCAATTGTAGATAAATTAAGATAAATACTTGGTACTTAGGGTGTAATCCATATGTTGAAACTAATGCATATTCTTGAATCTTCCTATATGTCTTCTGTCTCTGTGGAATCTAGCTCTCTGTCCTATGGCTTCTTCAATTGAACTGTAATCAATTTATTTCCCCAATCTTTTCCTTTTCTTGAATCATTCATATAACATTTGTATCAGTGCTTGATCTTTGCATACGCAAAAGTCAGTAAAGTTGATGATTTCGTTCGATAAATGAATGAACTTGAAAGTCAACTAGAAAATAAACTCAAATGTAAACTAGGTGAGATAGAAAAAATGATAATCAGTAAAATGAAATAACTGGTACTGCTAGTAACATGGAACCAATTACCTAACAATGCAATAGAGCAGATGAAGGTGGAATAGAGTGAAAAAATTTGGCCAAAAGTTTTCAGAGGAAGAAAGAATTAGAAGAAGATGGTCTTACGCATTGTACTAAATTGGAATTTCAATATCTCAACATAGAAAATGCAAAAGGTTGGAGCTACCAAGAAGAGAGATTCTTTACTTTGGATGGAACTCTAGAGTAACTGAAGATGTAGGTAGCTTCAGTGTATTTGGAGGGACAAGCATTGGAGTGCCATTTAATAATATTCATGAAACCAAGGAAAGACAACAAT